ATAGAGAGCCTAAGTCCCTCCCCTTCCGGTCGGCCACCATGGGACCTTATTTCGGAAAAATATTGTATGGTAGTCCATGCCGAGAGACAACAAATATTTTGATCTCGTTTGAATTGTGCCCTGAATTACACATATGATGTTTGTCAATTTAAAAGATACATTTTAAAGTCAAGAAAGTCGCAGTTTGATGTAAAACTGTTGAGGTGTAAGACTGTGAAAATACGTAATTACAAAGACTACAAACCCCAAAGGCACACATTATCTCTCAATGAATGAAGCTAACTTTACTGAAGCTAACTTTACTGAAGCTAACTTTACTGAAGCTAACTTTACTGAAGCTTACTTTACTGAAGCTTACTTTACTGAAGCTTACTTTACTGAAGCTTACTTTACTGAAGCTAACTTTACTGAAGCTAACTTTACTGAAGCTTACTTTACTGAAGCTAACTTTACTGAAGCTAACTTTACTGAAGCTTACTTTACTGAAGCTAACTTTACTGAAGCTAACTTTACTGATGGTAACTTTACTGAAGCTAACTTTACTGAAGCTAACTTTACTGATGGTAACTTTACTGAAGCTAACTTTACTGAAGCTAACTTTACTGAAGCTAACTTTACTGAAGCTAACTTTACTGAAGCTAGCTTTACTGACTTTACTGAAGCTAACTTTACTGAAGCTTACTTTACTGAAGCTAACTTTACTGAAGCTAACTTTACTGAAGCTTACTTTACTGAAGCTTACTTTACTGAAGCTAACTTTACTGAAGCTAACTTTATTTAAGCTAACTTTACTGAAGCTAACTTTACTGAAGCTAACTTTACTGAAGCTAACGTTACTGAAGCTAACGTTACTGAAGCTAACTTTACTGAAGCTAACGTTACTGAAGCTAACTTTACTGAAGCTAACGTCTGTCATGTTTTCTATAGTCTTACGTTATAATCGTAACGTTACGCCGTCATGCCGGAGTGTTTTGTACCAGACTGCACACACACGAGTAGCGGATCTCGCTCGTTGTTTCGCTTCCCGGGAGATGTAGTTCATTGAGCGATTTTCACATAAAACTAAATGTTACTCTTCTGTTTTATGACAAACTGCGACTTTCTTGACTTTCAGAATTATCTTTTAAATTGACAAACATCATATGTGTAATTCAGGGCACAGTTCAGACGGAATAAAAAGATAAGTTGTCTCTCGCCATTGACTAATGGCTCTTTTCCATTACCAGTACCAGCTCGACTCTACTCGACTCGCCTTGGCTCGCCTCGCTTTTCGCTCCGTTTTCCATTGCAGAAAGTACCGCCACAAATAGTACCCGGTCGTCATAGCGACGCCTTTCGTTGCCCCATCAAGCTCTCGCTGGATCCTCTCTTCGGCAACCAAACAAAGGAATGTCTGCACCTCCTCGTTTGAGGAGTATTCTTCCGAGTTGCCATATAGTAGTAAGTTTAGTAACTATCTCTGGCCAAACTATTTAAAAATGGCGGGGTTATTCTGGATACTCCATCTGGAGCGTGCAATGATGACGCAGTGAATAGTGACGATTCTCTCTGACCAATCAGCAGTCGGCATTGTTTTCACGTCACATTTTAGTATCGCCTTAGGTCGCTTAGAACCTCGCCGGAGGTGGTACGAAAAAAAGTACCCGAAAGCAGGTACAGGTACAACTTTTACACAGTGAAAAACCAAACAAAGGCGAGTCGAGCCGAGTCGAGTCGAGCCGAGGCGAGCTGGTACTGTGTAGTGGAAAAGCGCCATAACATACATATTTTTTCCGAAATAAGGTCCCATGAGCCGGAAGCGGAGGGGAGGGGCTTAGGCTCTCTATTTGGACGTAGGTTGTCGTGTGGAGTGCCAGTGTCATACCTGTCAACAATTTGGTTTTCAAAATCCGGGAGATATCTCCGGGGGGGGGGGGGGGGGGGCTTTTGGGGGTTGAGGTAAATGTACAACTTGTAACGACTGGAAATAAGGTGTGGCCCTAGGCTACACGAGTGCGATTTGGGAATAAAGTGCGAGTTGTGAGATGCCAATCGCCTCCGTGTGTCTGTCTGGCCTCTGCATGCAATAACTTCAGTTGTGAGCTAACTTATCCCTAATCTTCCTGAAGCAACGCGTTACAAACTGTACTTCGGTTTCATTGCGGGGACACCACCTTCACCTGCCATCATGTCTATCGGCTCGCTTTCGGGTTAAACTTTCCGCGACTGCGCAACTGGGTTATAGGTTGCCAGGTTGAGGTGACAAACGGGTTGAAATTGTAAATGGTCTGTGGATTGTGTGAATGTAATGCATTTAATACAATCTGGCAACTGGTCAACTTTAGACAAACATATTGGTCCGATTATTCATAAAGGAGTTTGGGCCATGCAAATTACGGGAGTTTCCCGGGAAAAATAACAAACCGGGAGGGGTCCGGGAGATGGGGCTAAAAAACGGGAGAAACCTGGGAAAAACGGGAGTGTTGACAGGTATGGCCAGTGTGTGTGTGTGTAAACTCACCAGCATGACCACACACCAGTTGAGGATCCCTCTGTAGTTGCTGTATCCGCTATCAGAGCTGAGCAGCGACTCCTGCAGCTTGTGGCAGCTGAAGACACAGACCAAACGAGTCAAGCAGTAGCAATCACATTAAAACGTGCGTATGTGTCTCTGGTCTGACATAATAGTTATTAAAGGCCTCAAACTACAGCCTGAAAAAGTTCCTGTCTCTATGAACTTTTTTTGTTTACTTCCTGTCTCTATGAAGCCCCTCCTTCTTAAAAAAAAGCACACTGTGCTCTGATTGGTCGGCTGGATCAGTGTGTTGTGATTGGTCAAGCTCTTCGAGTGTGTTTGGGAAATGTCCCGCCCCTTACCATAACCGCCAGTTTCAACACACTACTAACTAACTCAACCAGGCCCCGCCCCTTTATTCTGCGAATGAATTATTTAAATGATGAATATTGTGACGTGTTTGTTCCCGGAAGAAACTCAAGACTATAATGGAGGCGTTTCAGGGAGTTCAGAAACACTGACACTGATAGAGAATAACTCCCGCTGGAGGGAAGTTTTCATTACAACTTCTTTAAACACTAAAGAAAGATGAACATGGAAAAAAGCATAATAGGAGCCCTTTAAAGAAAGCAGTTCTGAGAAAAGATCCTGGAGCATGAGTGCATTTACACTTGATTTGAAATGCTAGATATGAATGCAGACATAAGGGTGTCTTAAGCATCCCTGACACTGAGTTTATTCGACACGGATTGAGGACAAGCCAATGTTGAAATCAGTGATGAAACGCCTGAGTTTGAGCAATACTTGTGCAGGAACAGAGCTCTTAATAAGTGTGTGAGTTAGAAAGGGTTATTGCTAAAGTTATTAATGACTAGGGTTGTGTTGATCTTATCAGTGACAGTTTTATCAATGATTTGAGTTGTGACAACAGCTCATTGAGAGTCTCGACCTTCACACCTTTACCTGAAGAGCTCTGTATCTTGAATCCTCTTGTATCTGCTGGTTAGGGTTAAACTTGAGTTCTATATATACTTAATTACATTGTTTTTTCAGATTTACCATACTACTCATGCTACTTTTGTAGTATACTGTGCAAATTTAAAGATTCGATGAAACACCAGGACGATCGACTACATTTGGCAAAATTATCACTAGAACCAGAAAACATAATATTGTCACTACATCACTATGTTTAAAATACTATCCCATTATACAGTATTGCAGTGTGGAAGCAGATTACTAGTATTATGTTGCATGGAAAGAAGAACCAGCGCTGCATGAGGTATTTCACTTCCATTCTCTGTTTAGGAGATTTGGATTACCTTGATGGTTAGAGCTAAAACCCAAGTAGATCCCAGAGACCCATGAACTGAACTGAAATATGTATAAATGATGTGACTGCTTGCACCATCCTGACCTCCCTGAACGTTCCTGCCATTCTTCAGTGTGAATATGAAGGCACAAAGCCTTAATTCAATTAGTATCATGTCTGCTAAATGCTGAATTTATTATAAATTAAATAAATATGTTTAACAAAAGTGAAATCCATTTTTTGTAAACTAGAAACAATTTACTGTGATTTGACAATGACCAAATACAGTATGTGCAAATAAAAATATGTTTTATATATATATATATATATATATACACACTGTAAAAAATTATAGGATCAATAAATTATGACAATATGTTTTTACGTTGCTTTAACTCATAAAAAAATGTTACATTTTAATAAGTTATACAAGTTATAGTTATAATAAGTGATCCTTTTTTGATAAGTTATACAAGATTCAACTCATTTTTTAAAGTCAGTTTAATTTAATTTAATAAATTACTTCAAAGTTGATTGTACTTAAAAATGTAAGGCAGCAACTTTTATATAGGCCTATACATATCATATTATCATTCAAAAATGCAATGACATCCAGAAATGTTTGTAACTGAAGTGTCCAAATACGTTTTGGGTCCTCTGTAGACCTTTATATCAAATGAAGATGTAAATGTAATATGCTATGCCTACATACTGTATGGATAGGCCTATAAATGTTTGTGTATCTGTATGTTACGGTGTACAAGCATCTCTCTCTCTCTCTCTCTATCCAGATAAACAGCTTCACAAATCAAGTCAAAACACAGTACTTCAATAGCATCTTTTACCTGAACGTGTCATCTCCAGCATCACTGTGATTCTTCTGTTTACTCGCGGATGTTTCATGTCTCGGCTCTTTCTCCTTCACCTGCCCGCTGAGAGTCTCTGTTGTGCCGCTGCGCTTCGCGTGAGCCGCCGCGTCTCCGGAGATCGTGGTTCTCCGTCTGTGCTTCGCCGAACCCCTCTCGCTTCGGTCGCCCATGTTCGCGATTATAGTGAAACAAACAGACACATTGTTGCTCTCATGTTCTTCGCGTTTGATATCACGCTGAATCGAAAAGGACGCGGCGCATCAAGCCATCCGCGCTGCGCAAACGTTGCGCAATGAGCGCGGTGACACCCTGATGCACCATGGCACAGTTCTCTGAGTCATTAAGCCACTGATTACACTGTTTTTACAGCCATCTACAGGATTTGCCAAATATCATAAAACACATTTGCTCTCATGCGGTGAGAGACTTTGTATTGATCCATTGGTGGCATATGGACCTATGATAATAAAACAAGATTGAGATTATAATTATTCAAAGAACCCACATATAAGGATATAGTTACATTCTTTGCATTTATTTACCTCTATCCAAAGCATACACATATTTAGATGGATCTGGAGTTTCTATAGGCTACATCTGTAATTTTCTTGGCCTTGTTTAATAAAGCAGGTTTTTGGGACTGCAATGGAAACACAAGCTGAGGATAAAGGGAAAGTTCACCCAAAAATAAAATTCTGTCATTATTTACTCACCCTCAATGTGTTCCAGACCTTTAGTCATTTGTTTCTTCTGCTGAACACACAAAAGAAGATATTTAGAAGAATGTCGGTAACCAAAGAGTTGATGGGCCCCATTGACTTCCATAGTATTTTTGTCGGAAGCCAATGGGCTCCATCAACTGTTTTTATACATAATAATATTACAATTATACTATAATTTTTATTCATTTTTTTTCCCTGTGTACTGGAAGCTTCACCAAGACGAATTCCTTGTTTATGGCAGTAAATCTCATTCAGATTCGGATTATAATTATGATAATAATAATTATTTATATCAAATTACCAAAATAAAATGACTTTAATATATATATATATATATATTAACTGAAACTTGAAATTATGGTTTAGCAGCTGCTTCAGTCAGTTTGATATATTACATAACTCATATTTGTAAATACAAACACGCCGCATGCCTGTCATTATGAGCAGGTGCAGAATCTCTTTTGAAATGAGCCAATGGCGTTGAGCATCTTGACGTCTTTAAACTGCTTTAAACCAATCAGGTGAGACGTAACAGCAGTCAAGGTTGAGTGAGTCACCGGCACTTTCCCAATGGCACTTTCAGCCAGTGAGAGACGACTAGTAAAGCTAGGGTGACGAGCACTCCTCTCCACGTAACGACACGGATCTGAGGGGAATCATAAATGCCACTTTCCTTTCGATTTTACTGCCAGTTTTGAATTAAAATGTATATGATCGTCAACACAACAGCATGTATTTGATATGCGCATGACTGTGAGTCGCTATAGGAGATGAGAAAAGCGAGGAAGCGACTGCCGGCGAGCGGATCGCAAGCGTCTGTCAGGAGACACGAAGGTAAGTCGGTTTCGGTCCATTATAAACTTACTGAATGTATGAGGGAAATCAGTTATAATGTCACTGACTGTGTAAGAGGTCCGTTATGGTGTCACTGAGTGTGTGTGCGATCCATTAGAAAATCATTAAATGTGTGTAATTAAGACATTTGGTAACGTTACACTGAACGTGTAAGAAGACCCATTATGTTGACACTGAATGATTGACAGGTCCAGTAGGATGTCAGTTGTTACTGTTATAATGTCATTGAATTATGGTCCTTAATGTCAGATCAATGAATATGAGATTCATTATGATGTCATTGTAAATGATAGGCCTATAGATATGGTATAAAATTATGTTAATTTTATATACATTTTTGCATTATATCATGTTTTTTCCCCCCTCTAAATCAAATAAGTTATTTTTGGAGGTCATTTTGTCACTCTATCTGTAAAAACCATTAAGACATCACCATAATTTTTTTTCCTCATGTTAAGTTTTGGTGGTTTAACCGTATAATTGTATCTGTATATGAAGTTTTGGCTACAATAAATTGAAATGAAAGCATTTCTTACTTCTGCCTGTTTGGTTTCCACTGAGGTAAAAGTTATTTGAAGATGTTTAAAGACTTCTGATTTGATTTGCCTATACAGACTGCGTCAGATATCACCAGACAAGATAAAATGTGCGTTCTTACATTGATTTAAGCCACGCACATTTAAATTTCCAAGGATGTTAGCGGCCAATTGGCCATTAACTATTTACTCTGTGTTAATTTTGCACCCTGCCTCAGATGTTTTGTGCTTTATCTACAGAACAATTGCCCTGGAAGAAACAAAAGCTGCTTGATATCCATCAGGCCCTGAACTGTGACCCCGTGGACATCGAGACACTGCGGCGGGCGGCTGTGAGCGAAGGCGGTTTGCTGACGGATGACATTAGGAGAAAAGTTTGGCCCAAACTCCTCAGCGTCAATGTGTACAGTCTGCCTGCCAAACCCTGTAAGTGTGTGAGTTTGTGTGTCTGGAACATGCCACAGATACTTCAATGATGTTTACTTTTTCTTATTTTCCTCTTTTAAAGCCAAAGATGTCCGAGAAGACCACAAAGACTACAGACAAGTGGTGCTCGATGTCAGGAGGTCAATGCGGCGTTTCCCGAAAGGTCAGAATCTGATATATCAGTCAATAAACATGACAAACCATCACATGATTTGACAGACTCAGTCTGGAGAGTCTTGAGACATATATCCAATCAGGGCTGAGTGATAAACCAGTTGAGATGATAGAAGTATAGATGTGGGTGTCTTGTATGCCATAGAAGTTTACAGTTAAAGCATGAAAAAAAATTGATTTGACAACTATATTTTTCATTGCAAATTGCATGATTTTTAAAATAAAAAAAATAAGACAAACTATTTTAATTCAGTAGTTTCTTCCATTATTCCCCCCCCCCCCCCCCCCCCATTATATTAACTTGAATAACAACTTGAAAACATTTTCATTTCAGATTATAGTATTAGTATAATACAACAATTTGAGTGCAAATCAGTGTTTAATATATATATATTAGTGCTGTCAATCGATTGAAAAATTAACTAGAATAATCACATTAAAACACAAGCTTTTATACGTTTTAATATATTTTATAATGTGATAATTGCTTTAACTGCTTTTCTCCCGCGTGTCACATGACCAGAGTGTAATCACAGGTTTTGCGGTTAAAACAAATCATGTTTCATCATATAGGTTTTAAGAAGAATAAAGGAGACTTTTTCACATCATCATGTCTGTCTGTAGGGTGTGTTTGACCCTGTGATGATGGAATAATTCATTTTCTGCCCTGCTTTTCTAAATTGACACATTTTGCTGTTGATGCAATGGTTCTCAGGCATGCGTGTGGACGAGCGAGAGGTTCTCCAGGAGCAGCTGATAGACATCATTCTGGATGTTCTGAGGAGAAATCCTCAACTGCACTATTACCAGGGTTATCATGACCTCGTGGTGACCTTCCTGCTGGTGGTGGGAGAGAGGATGACCATCGCCATAATGGAGAAACTGTCCAATCATCATCTCAGGTGAGTTAACCTGACCTACAGCTGCACGATTAATCGTAACAAGATCGATTCAAACACCCACGGGATCTTAGTCCTAAATCAAAGTGATTCGGCTCAATGTCTATTAAACCTTTTGACAAGTACGATCACAGTGAACATTCAAATCTGTGTTCTGAGGGAGAGAGAGCAGTTATATATATATATATAGGTATATAGGTATGAAACAGTTTCACAAACACACATTTCGGTCTTACAATAATTCAGATGATCACAGAAGTACTGGGATAAAAGTTTGTAGTTCAGATATAATCACTTATTTAAATGGAAGTGATCAAAATAGAGTAAATCAGCTTTTGAAAGTAACATGACATGTCAAATAAAGATTGTATCAATTACATTCTTTCACCAGAAGGTGTTTTTCTCAGTTTTGAGAAATAGTTTTTCGCAGTTTATCCAGAATCATAGAGCTCTCACCTGACCTTATGTTCTTCCCTACCTAATTCTGTTTATAATGTTTTGCATTGTTTCTTGCAACAAAAAATATTTTTTTTTGTATTACCATTTTCCACAAATGGATATTTTCGGATTGTAAATCAAAAACTTTGATAGTGTGATCGTTTCTGCAACACTTACTTTTATGCGTTTGGCAGGAGCTTTTATCCAAAGTGACTCCCATTTCGGATGACACTGTTGTCTTCTGTAGAGCTGAAACTATTTTTGTTTCATAATTGATGGGTTTTGCTAGCCTGGATGCCAGCCGAGCTTAGCCCCGCCCACAACATTTGAGGATGGGAAGTTCAGTCTGGCGATGATCCGTTGTGAAGCAAGTATGCCCGAACCAAAGCTGTTCGGACCAATCAAATTGTCTTTATACGATGATGGACAGATAATCAACCGTACCGTAATCATCACGTCACCAAAGACCGCTTGGGTTGAATTAGTTTACAACAAAGATGGCCGCCGCTGGAGACCTGAGATGTGTAGATTCAGCCATCGCGTCTGTTATAGTAGATGTAGACAGCGCATTCATTTAAAAAGAGGAACACAGAACCGCGATCAAGGCATTTGTCGATCCAATCGAGTCCAGAGGCATTTTCTTTCCTGGTTGGGTTGAAACGCCCCATAATCTCAGCCCAATGGAGCAGTCAGGAGTCAGGCTAGGGTTTTGCAGCATCAACACTGATTCAATTCAGGTCAATAACAAAGTTATCTTTTTTTTTTACAATGTAGCACATTCTCTACTGTTTGAGCTCTAGGAATGCTTATTTTCATTTTACTCTGATAGTGATAAGTATCCTCAGACATTTATTGTGTGTTTGTCGTCTTCTGTTGGGAACTGCAGGGATTTCATGGACCCCACCATGGACAACACAAAACACATCCTGAACTACCTGATGCCCATCCTGGAGCGAGTGGACCGAGAGTTGCACGACTTCATGATAAGGTAGACTCGATTGTGTTATGCTGACTAGTGATTATCTGTGATTGATCCATGTTCTTATGTGCATCTAGAATATGCAGATACGAACGTGGATCAATTACAGAGATTACATTAGATGAACTATAGAGATTAAACACTAAGATGGCTCTAAATCCAGATTAGTTGAGGCATGTTTGAAGCCATTGTTAATAATAATCGGCTGTACACAGTCTCCAGTTTGTTGTGAATGATTTAGTATTACTAAGTTATTTAATGAACATTGCCATCACTTTATAAAAGCAGTAAACCACTCAAGGCCGTCTTTTAGGAGATGAACTGATTGATAGGTTTGATAAAAAAATGTCTTGTCCCTCAAATAATATATCATAACTCTCATAACCAGAAGTTTATACTCCAATCAAAAAAGTCTCGCCTCTAAATAGGGCAATTTATGCATCTTTACAGTTCAAATAACACACATTTTTGTAAGCAAGCAGGAGCTTCACATTTGTTGCTTATCTTCTGGACTGATTGAATGAAAGTGCGTATAAACTGAGGGACAAGTCAATAATTTTGTGTGGTAATCAACACCACAACAGATCCATGTCAAAGGGAACACTCCTTTTTTGTCTGACCGTCTGAGGTTAATGTAGTTCCCTGTCCTGAAGAGGGCAGCAGAGGGCGTCTTTAAACGTGTAGGCCGAGTTATGAGGGAGTGACGCCTGCTAACTAACCTGACTCCGCCAGATGGATTTGCTCCGCATATCCATCTGGAAACCTTCCGTTGAAGTAGTTTTGGTAAGGGGCGAAAATACTGGTTAGCTGATTGGCCTATGTTGGTGATAGACGGGCCAAATTAACCAATCAGATCAACGAAGCATATGACGTACTAACAGAGCGTATCTTTTCCTCTGAGAAAAGCCTCCAGAGCAGTGTTTTGCTCTTCTTTCAGTGAAGAAATACTCTGTAATTCCGATAAAACTTGCTCGATAGCCACGCTGATGCTAGTTTCATCCGCTGAAGCCGACATGTTCTTTAGACTGAAGTGACGCGCTTCTCGTTGCGTCACACCTCAACCCGCCTCAAAGCCAACGCTGATTGGACGTTCGTTTGGTGAACTGCTCCCAAATTTTCTTTAACGGAAAGTATCCAGACTGATCTGCGAGTGAAACCTTGAAAGCTTGCGAGATCAGGATGGTCTCACGAGGCTACCTGCTAACAGGTTTATCTCCCACTTATACACTGTCTGAGACTATAAAGGCTGCTGAAATCTGTGACATGAATCTCAAATGTCTACGTTTGTTTCCAGTAGCTGTGTGTGTACATTGAATCAGGTGAGAGAAGGGGAGTAGCAGTGGGTGTGTGTACTGATGCACTGTGATGTACGGTTCGCTTGAGCTCTGTCAGTTTATAAAACTGATTTCCCCGCAAGGACACACACACACACACACACACACACACACACACACGCTTTATGTAATAATCTCACTGGAGACTGTTTTGTGTATGTAACTCTTCATCAGAGTCACTGTCACAGGGCTCAACATTTGTTCCGGTTGGGCCAGATTTTTACTTCCCTGGTCAACATTTTAATTCTCTCTCTCTTTTTTTTCTGCATTATTATTATAAATGTCAGAAAAATATAAAATACAACTTTTTTTTTTTTTTACAACAAATAATTGTTCAGCCAGTAGAGAAAATGTGTTAGAAAATAAATAGGCAAAATTAGTGAGGTTTTTTTTGAAGAGTAACTAGATTTCTTCCCCACTTTATTAAACGATTTATAATAAATAAATAATCTTTTGTAAATTATAAGAGTTATTTTTAAGCCTAAATGCGTAATGTTTAGTCGACGTGCCTCTACTCTGGAATATAAAATGATTTTTATTAACCTATTTATTTGTTATTCTCCTAATTTTGTTTGTATTTATTTTTATTTTAAAAAAAGAAAAAAAGAATAGGTGTTAAAAAGTGTGTGTTTAGCTTATTTCATATTATGTATGTTACTGTTATGATTCAGCTGTTTTGTAGTTGATGTTTGTTTTCCTAGTAAATAAAAAAATGCATTAAAATGAAGTCATAGAGTGCAGAAAACATTAATGGTTTGTTTACAAAATTCAGCCTGTTGTACAGTAGCTTCTGACTGTTAAATCATTCCTGCAATATTGATAAATCCTCATCTAATGTATGCTCGCTATAATGCATATGCACATCAGCAGACGTAGTTAAACCTCACAGAAATTACAAATATTTAAGTTTGCATAAAATGCATGTACAAGTTTTTCAGCAACTATGAGATAGATTGTAGAAATGTGAGATCTGGGCTGAAACTCACACACACACGACACACTGACTATCTTTATCGTAGAGCTCTGTGTCAGACGGTTTAAAGTGTTGCGTATTCCCAGACATGGGGACTTGTGACTTGGTGACTTGGACTCGAGTCGACTCGAGTCGCTATTTTTATGACTTGTGACTTGACTTGACATAAAATGAAATACTTGAGACTTGACTCGGACTTGGAAGTTAAAGACTCGGGACTTGACTTGACTTGAGACACGATGACTTGAATGACTTGAGTGTTAATCACATCATGTTTTCAGTTTGAATATAAAATATATATATATATTTTTTTTTTTAAGTTGATCACGACACTATCATCAGTCATACCCTCTCGTACCTTACGCACACCATGCACGCCCACTTAGATCAGATATCACATCAAAATGTCGGCCGGAGGGCTACCGAGGGTCATTGCTTTCGGCTTCAAGAATTATTCACACGATGGCAAAAGACGAACAGCGCTTTGCAAGACATACAACGTTAACATTGCGGACAGCCAGACGACAACCTCCAATTTCGTCCGTCATTTGAAGAGCCATTCTGCCCAGTAAGTGCTTGTCAATTTGTTAATGTTAGTTGGTAGTTAGCTAATGTAATAGCTAAAGTAGCCATTAACCCTTTCACAAGTAAGTTTAAACTATTCTAACTGATCCCCCAGCGTGAGTTTTTCTAGGCGACCGTTATTTAGAACCTGTCACTCACTTTAATGTTTCATGGTGACGCGTCATTGCTTGTCATGTGACACAGCGCAACCACAACACAGCGCTGAATGAATGATCTGCTTTTATGTCATTTTTCCTGTTTTATTCAAAATGTTCACAAATGTATTAGTTATAACATGCAACACTGATATTCCAATTGTCAAATATGTGCAAGTGGATGTGTTTTGTTGTTTAAACACCTTTATAATGATCGCGTTAGTTGAGCTATATGTGCGAATGGGCGGTGCCATGTTAACGTTAGTTTACAACACGTCAATTTCTCAACTTCTCACGAAATACATAAAAGTAAGTGACCGGTGAACTGGGAGAAGAATAGGGTAAAATGTAAAGCTACTTACACAATGTGTATCTGATATGAATAAAACGTGCGTCTTATTATAATGGAAAGGATTATTATTGACGCTTCCATAGACATCAGTGTATATTTTACAAACTACAAATATATTTTTTTGCTAGTAGTTATGTGTATTTAAATGTCTGAAACCTAAAATAAAAATGATGTGGTTGAAAACACTGAACAGTTGTGATATATGACAGCACTGAGAGCGTATGTCTCTGGCTCAGCGCCAGCCAACGCGTTTGAATTCATTGATAAATAACTTTCAAGAAGCAGAATAGTGGGTCATATGTCTAATGCTTTTTGAAAACTTAAAGGGGTCATATAATGCCATTTTTGTACAAGCTAATATGATTCTTTAGGGTCTAAATTAAAAGTTTGTAATATACTTTAATTAAAAATTCTTATTAGTATTGTAAGAAAACACTTATTTTACTTGGTCAAAAACAGCTCTGTTTTCAGCACGCCGTTTCAGTGCATATGACTTTAAATGATCATGAGCTTCGCTCACCCCGCCTCTCTGTTCTGTGCATACACCGTTTGTAACACAATAACACAATAACCATAACGCGTTGTTCAGTATAAACGTGGAATTATGAATTATATTGAGAACGTCATACATAGAAAACATGCCATAATGTACCCTGAGTGTAAACCTTAGACGCATTCATTGTGAAGCGTGCAGCTAGCGATTTGCAAAGATTAATATATTAATATAAAAGTTTAATAAAACGTTACACTCACTTCCGTTCTTCTGGAGATTCAGCAGGAACACGAATATCTGGTACCGATCTTTTTTCATGAGCAGCTTCTTAGCAAATCCAGCTTTATACTCACCCTCGTTTATAAAGCAGTCTGGTGTGTGAAATGATTCGGCAAACATGAGAGCATTGACGTTGCTCGTGGGGAATATTCCCTTCGAAAACAAACACAGCCATTGCGTCTTCAGCGGTTCGGATTTAGGAACATTAAAATGACTGTGTTCGTTATTACACCCAAGAACAGAACACCACAATCGCTTAGACGCCATTCTGCTCATAGACAGTGCTCCAGCATATCAACAATGACCGCGCCGCGCAGACTATGATTGACAGCTCTCACGAGCGAGGGCGGGTCTGTGTTGAAACGCGGCTGTCATTCAACAATCGTGGGAGGGGCTTCCGAGCTTGTGACGTCACAGGCTCGAACGGCTCGATTTGAGGCAGGGGAAAACATATAAGGAGATTAAAGCAAAACCACTGGATGGATTTTTATCATTATATGATGGTTGTGTACAGGCACTGCCAACACACATTTCAGTACAATCAACTTGTAAAAGTGCATGTACCATTATATGACCCCTTTAAGGCTTTCTTCTTCATAAAAGAAGTCGGACATCACATTTTTGTATACATTTTTATTTCTTTAAATTAGTAAGCTACAGGACACCATCTTTCAAAACATGACCTGCGCGAAAGAGAAAAGTGAATGAATGCGTCATTGTTCCCAAATGCACTTCCGAATGCGCCTCTGTTCATTTCAAACCAAACTGACGCCCATAGATCAAATTCTGCAGGTAAAATTACAATAATAAGGTGACTTGACTTGGACTTGACTTGACCTACTACAAGACTTGACTTGACTTGACTTGACATAGCCTGTGACTTGACTTGACTTGACTTGCCCAGGAAAAAAATACTTGGAACTTACTTGAGACTTGAAGGTTAAGACTTGAGACTTACTTGAGACTTGCACATGTGTGACTTGGTCCCATCTCTGCGTATTCCCCACACACTCTCAATGTCATCTTGCGTTTCAGCTTTTGACAGCCATGTGTTGTTTATTTGTCCTTTGAAACCTGATGCATAAAGTTGCATGCATTCTTGCAAAATGTATGTCGACTACGCGTGAGTGTGTGTGTGTGTGAGAGAGAGAGAGAGTGTTCACATTAACCTGTAGCTCTGCATTGCGTGAGGCTTTTCCCAGCTCTAGTTTGTAAAAGCAGGTTATTTTTAATGGCGACTCATCTAAAATGTAGAGAATAAGAGCTTCTTCATAAATATTGCATCGGCGCGTCTCGCCGCAGTGCCGGTCGGTCCACAGGTTTAATGGTGTTGCTCACTCAGGTGCTGTTGCTTTTGCTTTTATGAATCTTTCCAAACAAGTTAATAAAACTTCAGAACTTTTAAAAAGCCCTAAAAAAAGAACGTTCCTGTTCGTGCGTCAGTTTCTCTGGTGATATTTAAGAGCTCAGTAAATGACAAGCTCACAAAAAGAGCTTCACCACATTGCGAATCATTACGATTCCTATTGTTACTGGTCACGCGGAGAGTTTTATCCTCGTCCAGCATGTGCTCGTGACCTTGCAGCACATTTACAGGGCAGGGAAAAGGCCCACAGCGCCGTTAAATTGCTCACATGGAATATCAGTGACTGTGATTAATGAATGTGTCAAACATGCGTTCCTGTGTTTTGCACATGCTAAATGCTTCGGCGGGTTTTTAGAGGAGTTTCGGGAGAGCTCTGCTGTGTCCTGTCATGTTTGAATGTCAGTTTCACAGATTAGAGGCACTTTCAAAAGGTCATGTTGCCATTGAGCATGTTTACTTATGCCAGATACATGCTCTACGTGACGCACGCGAGCGTATGGTCCCGCTGTATGAATGCAAGTTTGTCTCTACTGCGGCGATCACAAACCTCAGTACATTGACATGGACACCAAATATACACTACCATTCAAAACGTTTGGGGTCGGTAAGAGTTTTAATGTTTTTGACATTAAGGCTGCATTTATTTGATTAAAAATACAACAACAACAACAACAAAAAACTCGTTATAATATCGTTAAATATTATGACAAACTTAAAATAACTGTTTTCTATTGTAATATATAGTAAAGTGTAATTTATTCCTGTGATCAAAGCTTATTTTCAGCATCATTACTCCAGTCTTCAGTGTCACATGAAAGTTTTATTTATTTGAATTATAAATGTCTCTACTGTAACTTGATCAATTTAATGCATCCTTGCTAAATAAAGTATAGATTTTTTTTTATTTCTATACAATAAAGAATAAAAATCTTACTGACCCCAAACTTGAACGGTAATGTATAATGCTACAAAATTTTCTATTTCAGATAAATGCTGAAGATTTAAAAGACTTTTTTCTGCTTAATCTGTTTTTTTCTGTTTCTGGTATAAAAACATTTTCTTGAGCATCAAATCATCATATTAGAGTGATTTCTGAAGGGTCATGTGACACTGAAGACTGGAGTAATGATGCTGAAAATTCAGCTTTGATCACAGGAATAAATTACACTTTACTATATATTCACATAGAAAACAGTTCCTTTAAATTGTAATAATATTTCACCATTTTTAATAAAAAAGAAATGCATCCTTGGTAAGTATAATAGACTTCTTTTAAAAAAACATAAAAAAATCTTAACAATCCCAAACTTCTCAATTGCAGTGTATATCCAAATAAATAGATTCGGCAATAGATAGATAGTTTGACCAAGATGGAAAATGTTATGCAAAAGATAATAGGCTTTATGCCGAGCGTCACGTGACCAAGCCGGAAAACAGATCACATCGCTTCCGATTCAGGTCTTTTGTATGTGCTTCATGAAATTTTTTGCGGTTTTACTCAAGATAACTTAAAAGGAGCAAGCAAAAATGAGCATAACCAATGTCCCTCGATATTTAAAAGTTTTTTAATTTTTCTTCTTCACACTAACGTTTAGAAATTTAAATAGCATAAAACACCAATAACAAAGTTAACTCAGTAGGTTAGCTGATTACCTTAAAAATCCATATCGTAGTTAGTTCTTACGGCCGTTAACACTTTCTCTGATAAGCGGATGCAATGAGACCCGTTTTCCGGTTTGGTCACGTGACGCTCGGCATAAAGCCTATTGGGTCATTTGTACTTAATATAATGTGAAATTGTCCAGTTTGACCTGATGATGTAGCCTAGCTGACGTCAGACCACGTCTCATTGAGATTGAGACGTGGTCTGGGAACCACATGTTAATTTTCTCGTATTTGAGGCGTGGTTTACGAATGCCCAGAGCCGTTTATTGGGTGCTACGAATGTCTATCAAATGCGCCTGTACGTAGCTCATAGCCAATCGTTTCAATTATACCAGATGACGTTTGTAGAGCGACAGAAGTTAGACGAGGAAGAAGACGATGGGTCAGAGATTTATTTGTGTTATAAACTACTTGGAACAATATCTAAAGGGCCGTACACACCGGGACGAATATCGGCGCGCGTTATTCGCCAGCGTTTTTCAACGCGTTTTTTTTGTTCACACCCAAGCGATTTTCGCTGACGATGAGCCGAGTGAACACGCAAATTCATTCCCTGACATTAGATGGCGCTTAATGTAAAACAGAAATAGTCCTATGTTGTAGTCGCTGTCGCGTTTGTCATATAGTTCTTCATGTTCCGACACCAACGAGACCAGCGGCTCTACATTCATCTGGCCTCGCATCTTCCTCGTCTTATTTCTTCCCGGCAGTGTCGACGCTACTTGGCGTATATCTTCTTCGCCGTTACGTATGTGTGCTCGGCAAGACCGTTTTGTGTTTGAGCGCCCCCAAGTTGTGTTTTACTGTATCTTCAGAAGCTGCAGACACGTGAGCAAAAGCGCCAATCTCATTGGTCGGATAGTTTTTGACGCAGTGCGTCAAACCAAAAAAACAAAACCGAGGCGTTTTAAAAAAAATTAAGCTTTTACGCGAGGCGTTTTTCGCGTCGGTGTGCACACTCACATTGGCGCCCTTTGTTTAGTCACGAGGCGTTAAACGTCGGCGAATATCGCGCGCGAAATTCGTCCCGGTGTGAAACGGCCGTAAGGCTGCATCGAAAGGTAACTTCGCGTCTGCTGCCATGTTGGATCCATAGGTATAAACAAACTGCTTCGGTGTGTCGCATAAGCTGCGTTCACACTACAAGCGGCTTTGTCGCTGCAGGTCGCCAGTGGCTGCGCTGGAGGGCGTTCCCACTACTGGTTGCCTAGTAATGTTTGTGAGTGACAATCACGAATTTTACTCTGTTAGACAACAAATACGTTTTCTTGCCGCTACAAACAAATATTTTGGAAGGAAAAGTCTAAATATAAATGGAATCAGGACATAAAATGCATAATATTAAAGATGAACGAGAAACAGTGAGTGCTCTTTCCCATCGCGGCTATTTAACTGCAGAAAACGGGCAAATACCGGTCTATCTGAGTTCCCGAAACCATTCAGGCACGGAGTCAGTACGGTGAATACCACTGTATGTACACGGAGATATATCATAAATAATAGGACCGTTTCTGACTGCTAAAATGGCCTTCTCGTTCAACTAGCCTCGGTCAGACTCAGCACTGAAGAGTGACGCGCTCCACTGACTTCACTCCTATTGTAGTGTGTAGTTTGTAGTGTGAACGCAGCTATAGACGTCGTCATCGTGTTGCTGCTCCCTCCCCGTTCTGTGATTGGTCCCCTCGCTGAGGCGAAAATCTGGTCCATGGTATCCAGACTGCCTAGCAGCGTGAATAAAATCGCGCTGCGCAAAGGCAGTATGGGGAAACCCAGGCTACTGAGGATGTTGATTCTGCTGATAACGGCTCGTCTGTGTGTTGCAGGTCTGAGGTGGGCACCATCTTCGCCCTGAGCTGGCTGATCACATGGTACGGCTACGTCTTGTCAGATTTCCGGCATGTTCTGCGGCTCTATGATTTCTTCCTGGCGTCTCACCCACTCATGGCCATCTACTTCGCCGCTGTGGTAAGGAGGAGCGTCTCTCTCTCACTTTAGTCAGTCCATCTCCCGCCTTCCAAGGACTCGATCGAGGCAGTGCTGCGTTCTGACCTTTTCAGTGTTCGTGAGAGAGAAAAGGACTGAAGTGCTTTTTAAAACTATTTTTAACTTGACCAGGCATCCTAAAAATGCTGAAAAAGCTGCTTTCACACATTCAAATTAGTTTTGAAAGTAATTTGAATATGTGAAGGCAGCTTTTTCAGCATCTTAAATACAGCTTTTTTAAAAATCTTAAATACACCAATACACATTTTTACTGGTAAGATACCATTGACACATCAGCACCAGAAGCTCTTTAGTTTCATCTGTCCAATTTGACAACTTTTTTTACTTCTAAATGTGACGGGCGCAAATGCTTTTAAAAATGGGAATCAATATGAGCATTGCATTTTCAGACGTGATGCGACAGTTAACAATGCCCGTCTAGTTCATGTTTACATAGAAAAACAATTAACAAGCTGTGCAGTGAAACACAAATGCGTTCTGTGTGAACTGGCCCTTACTGTAAAGAGCGCAGAGTAATTGTGCCATCTCAGTGTCGACTTTATGATTGGCCCAATGCAGACTTCTTACTTCAGTATGTGCTCATACTGGATATTTTTATTTCATTTTTACTGATTTTAGAGCCTCACTTCACTTCAACTATGTAGTTTCCAAGGCAACATTTCTAATTTTCATTTAAGATTTTAATCTAACATTTATTGTGTATTATCATTTAAAATTTAAATATGAAATTATATATGTTAAAATATGTTATTATTATTTATTTTTAACTTTAATTTATTTTATAGTAATTTTATTACTTCAACTTATTGATTTTAGTAAATTTTTATTTAAATAATATTAAATAATACATATTAATATAATAATATGTATTATCATTTATTTGTTTAATATTTTATTTAGCTTTCATTTATTTTAGTTTTAGTAATTTTAGTACTTTAACTTAAACTTATTTATTTCAGTTAATTTTCATTTAAGTTTTTTATTTTTAATAATGATAATAATAAATATTGATAATATTTATTCTTTATTTATTATATATATATATATATATATATACATAACTTATTTTAATTTTAGTAATTGTTGTACTGTTGTGAATGACAATTAAAAATGATGCCTTTGTAACTAACTGAGATAAATAAGTTTTTATCTAATTTTATTTAATCTAATTAAATAAAATTAGATTTTATAGTATTATCTAATTACTACTATGATATACTACGACTTCAACTTATAATTGAAGATAATTTATTAAAATGTCCTGTTTGATCTCTAAACTGATAATTTATAAAATACTGAATTTGAATTTAACTATGGGTATATTTCTAGAAAATCCTGTATGTGACACACATCCGTCTAACACATGTCCAACATTAAATCACAGCGCTCTGTTGCTAAGAACAGTTGTTTATGCTCTGCAATTACAGCAATACTGAACAATCCTCCATGAGCTGTTGCCCCTCAGACACAAGCTTTTGTAATCCAGAGACAAGACGTTGTTTACCATGTTTTGCCTGTGTATTTGTTAATTCGCGTATTTAGGCGATAGCTAATTCATCAGCACAACAACAACAAACCTCTTTCCAAAAGAGAGGCAAAGACTTTTCTTTTCTTTTATTTTTCCACTCCTTCCTCATCTAATGCGAGAATCGAGGGCACTTTGTTGTAGCGGGATCAGTTAATTAAACAACTCTAATGAATTCACCAGAGGTTTGTGTGGAAGGCTGCGTGTTTGTGCTAGAATCCTTTAAACGCCGTGCCTCTTTCTTCTGTCTCCACGAGCAGCTCCCCTGTTAGAGACAACGGGGCCGGGGGCCGTTTGAAGTCAGGATAAGAAAGCCAGCCGGAAATATAGTTCATCCTGCATCTTAGGTAGTGGATGAGCTGCGGTTCGGCTGTGAACGACGCGTACTCGACCTCTGCGGGATGAATCTGACCGGGCGTGAGGAGGGTGAATGAACATCTGCGAGCCGAGCTTTTTTTCATGGTTATGGCTAGGGCTGCTCGATTTATAGGGGAAAAAAATCATAATCACGATTATTTTGGTCAGTCACGATTATGTAACACGATTATTTCACACGACTTTGGGAACTTATTAAAAAGACACCTTTTAACAATTCTTTAAAAAAAATCGAGTGTACTTTAAAGGGTTAGTTCGCCCAAAAATGAAAATGATGTCATTAATGACTCTCCCTCATCTTCTAGCCGATCCACAACAGAACCGGAGGACAATACAATGCTGAATACAGTCGTAGTTTTTGTTATTTTTGGAGCAAAATGTATTTTCGATGCTTCAACACACTCTAACTAACCCACTGATGTCACATGGACTACTTTGATGATGTCTTTATCTTCTTTCTGGACAAGGACAGTATACCGTACATACATTTCCAATGGAGGGACAGAAAGCTCTCGGACTAAATCTAAAATATCTTAAACTGTGTCCTGAAGATGAACGGAGGTCTGACGGGCTTGGACCGACATGAGGGAGAGTCATTAATGACATCATTTTCATTTTTGGGTGAACTAACCCTTTAACTATTAAAATAAATAATATAACAGATAATACTTCAATAAGTATTTTAATAATTCCCGCAGGAATAATGCGGGAAATTCCCCCGCAAACTTTGATTCACTTTAGCATGTAGATTGTATGAGTAGCCTAAATTAATCCACACAGATTATAAAATCAAATCAATCATTTTAAAACTGTCTCTTCTCTCTCTCCGTCTCTCAAAATAGGTTGGACAAGGCAAGCGTCGAAACTACATTCTCGCGTTTAGGAGTCGGGACTTGACGGGATTGTCACTTGCACAATCGGGCCAGCATTGCATCATATCTAAAGTTGATCATTTTCACTTCTTTTTAACTCTTATCAGTTTAAACATTGAAGCTGAGAGACTTTATGGCTTCGGGAGGCGCGGATGTGCGCGTGTCATTCAGAACACAAGGCAAAATAAGAGTGTTCTTGCAAAACAGAACATGGCAAAATAATCGTTTTTACTCGATTGTACTATTTTGGTGATCTTTGGGAGTCGAAATCGAAATTAAATCATTTGCACAGCCCTAGTTATGGCTGAAAACCGTAATATATATATATATATATATTATTAAAACAAGATCAATTTAAATGCAAAAAAAGACCATATTTGTGTGACTTGTTTTTAGAAAATGTATCTTTAATTAAGGTTAAGGTGAGATTAAGTTTTTTTTTTTCTAATTTGAGTATAACAAATTTTAGGTTTTATGCTTAAAAACAAGAAAAGGCAATTTGAAAGCTAAAAAAACTTCTTTTAGCAGAAATGGGCCTTGACACAATTTTGGCTAATTCTTCTGTTTTTTTTTTTTATATATAATTTTTAAATTGCAAAAATCATTCACAGTTAGTATTTTTGTGTATTATAAACTTTTTATTATTATATTTACTGCATTATAGTTAGATTTTTTATGATACACATAATTTTTTATATTATTTATATATTGTAAAAATACAGCAGCCGCACACTCAAAACACTGTGCAAAATCAATTTAATAGCAAGCTTTCGGTCTTTCGGCTGCTGTATTTTTACTATTCCTGATGATTTAATGTAGCAGCACCTCTCTACAAGACATTTTTGACGGATGAGCGGTGGTTCTTTTCTATTTTTATATTATTTATATATAAAACATTTACACAATCGAATCTTATTTAAGTATAAATCAAACAAAAAGAAAAAATATATTTTTGAAAACTGTAAAGCACCAAATAAATAGGGCAGAATTTGGGTTCAACACATAGTTTTGGGTTAATCCTTCAGTGCTTTTGGTTTTCAAAGTGTTTTTTCTTCTTCTAACCTGATCAGACCTGAATATTTCTGCTTATGGCTATCTAGTTTACATGGTACTAGTTTATTGTTTTATTATACATTTTATATTTTTGAAGTTATGAACCTCAAACTTCTTTGAACCGAAACCTCTCCTACTGGAGTGACTTTGATTTTCGCCTCCGAAATTTTCGCACGTTAAAAAATAAACACGACCTCACGTTATGTCAATCCCGCTGCCTCCGAAACTTTCGACCGTCATAAAAAAAATCGGATCGGGTTCGATTTTCTGCGTTTTCCGCATCCGTAGCAAGCAGTGTGAATGGTGTTTTGATGATTCAGAGCCACCGAATCACGAATACGAAAAAACGCATACGGAAATTTCGGACTCGGTGTGCAAGGGCCGTCAGAAGTGTAATTTTAACATCGTAAACATGACTTATAGTTGCGTAAAATCAGTCGATCAGATTGAATTGCCATTTTCGTGTGCATCAGTGAGGGAACTGTGGGCGGTACGTCTGACACTGAGACTAATGCTCTCTCTCTCTCTCTCTCTCTCTCTCTCTCTCTCTCTCTCTCTCTCTCTCTCTCTCTCTCTCTCTCTCTCTCTCTCTCTCTCTCTCTCTCTCTCTCTCTCTCTCTCTCTCTCTCTCTCTCTCTCTCTCTCTCTCTCTCTCTCTCTCTCTCTCTCTCTCTCTCTCTCTCTCTCTCTCGTCAGATTGTGTTGTACAGACAGAAGGAAGTGAAGAGCAGCGAGTGTGATATGGCCAGCGTTCATCACCTGCTGTCTCAGATGCCTCAGGATCTGCCGTACGAGGAGCTGATTGGTCGAGCTCAGAAACTCTTCATCAGCTGCCCGCCCTCTCTGATGACCCAGTCTGCGGCGCTGCAGTCACGCAACATGTGAGACTCTCAAACACACTCTTACATTCACACACACACACACACACACACACTTTTAGGTGTTTTACGTCTTCAGTTAACTATGGGAAACTATCAGCAAATAATCATAACTTAAATACTTTTATACTTATAAAAAAACTAAAACAATCCAAGGCACTTGGAATAAATTATTTTTAGAAAAATATAAAAAGCCTTTATTTTATCAAGGCTTAAGTATTTTAACCCTCTAGGCGCCACGGTCGAGTTTACTCGACAAGATGCGGCACTGAATAAAACTGCCGATTTTGTCAAATTGGGTGTCAAATTTCGTTCGACCTCCCCTCCACTGGATGCCAGACATGTCATACTTCATCCCCGAATCAAAAAAACGTCATGTTTCTATACAAAATGTTCGAGTTAGAGCGCATTGAATCTGCGATCAAAAGCGGAGCTAGTGTGCGAGACGAGTGAGCCATTTTATCAGATCCTCTCCGCAATCGCGGCGACAGTATTGTGGTGGAGACTTTGTCTAATACCACTGGGTATGTTAGACGAGGTCGAAGTATTCATAGGACAGTTAGGAGGCGACGTGGAGGCAGGGTGAGGAGTCGCAATGACAATGACAGTAGTCCGAGCTGTGCACACTCGGCGCGCGCGCGAGGCAGATCTGGCCGCGCTGCTCATTATCTCACTCATGATCTGGGCCTTGCCGTGGCGAGTGAGCGTTTGAACTAAACAGGTCTTGCCTACTTGTGTTTGTATGTCATATGAATAATATATATGTGCCCCATACATGGAATCAGAGTGCCTACTGTATTTAGTAAATGAAAAATCTCCACAGCAAAAGGCCAACCACTAAATGCATTCGGTTTGTTTCTACCATTTATTGGTAATGATTTACACAGTTTGTTTACTACTTACTATATACCTGAGCATTCAGTATTGTGCAGTATAGCATACAGAAGGTGATGGACATTTTGGGGGGAAAGAAGTGCTGCATTTTATCACTTAAACATGTGACTTTTCATGAAAATTCTATAATCCAAGATTGCCACCACCATATGACGTCATAATATGCTAATTAGATGGGACAATGTAATCCCTACATAAACTTTGGGTCATCCTTAATATTTCTCTAATTTACAGAAAGTCTCTATCTTTTATCACTTTTAAGATATTGCCTTTTGAAATTAAGATGTCAAAATCGAACGTTTTAGGAAAAAACCTCTGGCGCCTAAAGGGTTAAAAACAGGTGAAATACTAGTATTAGGCCAGAATGAAACAGGTGACAAGCAACGGCACATACTTGTATTAATACTAGAGTTAGGGCAGAATGATTAATCAAAATCTCAACCTGGCTTAGTGTGATTATCAAATCACAAAGGCTGCAATTTAACATGCGCTGCGTGTTTCAGAGTGAAGCGCTGCACTGTGTCCTTTCACACGCGAGCTGCTGAAGATCTGGTGTTATAGATGTGTTATGAGAAAGCTTTATTAACCCGCTGCCAACAAAGGAGAAGCTTTAAATCTCCCTGGCTGCATTCTTCAGCTAACATGGTTTAATGTTTGAAGATAAAGTTAAAACTATTCATTTCTAGAATATTCGTGTTGTACTTTTACAGTTGTACAGTAAAATAAAAATGTTTTTATTAAATACTCCATTTTTATTATTATTCATTTCTTGAGTATTAATAGTGTCTTTTTTACAGTTACACAGTAAAATAAAGTATTATTTTTATTAAATACAAATTTTTTGTATTAATTTCGGGAGTATTAGAATTGTCTTTTTTAATACTGTTATACAGTTATAAAGCATTATTTTTATTAAAATCTTATTTTTTTGGGATTTTTTTTACAGTTATTATTTTATTAAATACTCATTTTTGTATTATTTTCTAGAATATACAGTTGTATAATCACAAAAGTAATACATTTCTTGTTTTGTTTAATATTTTATTTAACAGTATTATTATTGTGTTGTCATATATAATCAAACTATGCTTTTTTGACAAATTCTGCAGCTTTACAAACAAGCACAGTATTTTTTATTTCACATTTTAATTCACAATCCAATTTGTATCAGAAGAATCGCCATAGATTTTTTTTTATCCCCAAATGATTCAATTCAATTCACATTTATTTGTATATCGCTTTTCACAATACACATCGTTTCAAAGCAGCTATACAGAAAGTGCACGAGTCCACATTACAAGTCTGTTATCAGAGGAAACTAAGTTATGTATTTCAGAAATGTACATATACAAATCACAGTTTGCTAAAAATCTATTCATTTAAACAATGTAATAATTTAAGGCAAATAGTTTAGCCCTACCTAGTATACAAATAACATACCAGTGCTGTTATACAGTAGGATTCAGTACACACACACACACACACGTTTAAACTAGTCTTTGGCCCTGAGGGGTGTTGGTTTCCACCTGTGTCCATCAGGTGGAGCTATTGAGGATGATATCACGTCCCCTCTGTTGCGCCCCTGTTGTGACGTGAAGGACGCTCAGCCGGAGCTGTCTGCGTCTCGGCCCTGTGTGTCTAAACACTCGCTGTCAGTCTGCAGATTGCATTTGCAGATGCAGGTGAAGCCACTTTAATGATTTATCTCTTACGGCAGCGGGAAACGATTCCTCCGGCATTCAGCGGGAACTGAATTCAAGTCCCTCAGCGCTGAAAAAGCCATCAGAGGGGAGATCTGTCTTGTTTAAGATCTCCCTGCGTCTGCTGTCGCCTATGAAGATTAAGAGAGAGAAGAGACAGAAATGAGAATAAGGAAGTGACAGAAATGAGAGAGCGATAGAGAGGGGCAGCGAGAGACGGGAATGCGTGAGAAACAATGTGTGTGAGAGAGATATTAACACTAAAATGAGAAAGATGTATTTTTTTTTCTCTTTCTGCCTGTCTTATGCAAATCAGTCCTGCAATAAGTAAGCTCCGCCTCTCTGGGTTATTAATGCTCTACCCTAATTTGCATAACCCCTCCCCCACCAGCATCTGTGGCCTCACTGAAAAGCGAAGAACATACGTGTGTGTGTGTCAGTGAAATGAGCAGCCTGTCGCGAGGCCGTGACCTGTGACCTTGATCTCTATTGTTCTGTTTGACCCTGTGGAGTGCTGTAATGAGGAGTGGCACGTCCTCCCTAATGGCTTTGACCCCCGAATGTTCTTCATTAATACCCCCTGCACACACCCTCAGGGTAACACCCTGCCCTCTGCTCGCACCCGACTTCATAAACGCAGTGAAATGATATTATCACCGAGACTGATGCTCTGATCTCATCTTTCGCTGTTAGTTAGCGCTGCCTGTTGCGGGCTTGATTAGATGTTCAGGAAAGAAGAAACAAGCATCTGTCATGTGTTTGTGTGTCTACCTGTTCTAGGTTGATGGATTTTGAGAGTGTGTGTGGATTGAGGGTGTTTGTGTGCAGGTTGTTTCCTTTAACGGTGACCTTGTATCTCACAATTGCGTCTATTTCTTGACTATATCTCACAGTTCTGGTTTTATATCTCCCAAATGCATTTATTTTTATTAATTGAGATTTTTTTTCTTTTCTTTCTCACAAATCTAACTTTCTATCTCACAATTTTTTTCTTCTTCTTATAATTGCAAATGTATACTTTCCAATTGCGTCTCTTTTTCAGAATTGCAACATTATATCTCACAATTCTGACTTTATTTCTCCTAATTGCATCTGTTCTTCTCACAAATCTCATATTTGCATCTATTTTTTTGTAATTGCAACTTATATTTCACAATTTTAACTCATAATGTTACTGTTTTTGTATCCCACAGAGTTTTTTGATTGGTTGGTGGGTATGTGTGCAGGTTAAAATCAACTTGTAATCAAAAATTATTTTCTTAGCTCATGTTTCAGGTCTTATTTTGAATTATTCATCCATGATTTTTTTGTTTTGGTGTAATCAGAATCTTTCATCAACCTTTTCAGATGATGTCATCTAGGCCACACGGGATATTCGATTATGTATTTAACTGAAAGCTAAATACTTCTTTATTTGACTGCAAACTTGCATTCATGTCAAAACCTTAATTTAAAAACAGTTACCACATACAGAACCACAGTTAAAAATCTGCCACACTAAATTGAAAGATTTCTGCAAAATGACTGACATGTTAAATAACACTATGGTGTGTCCGAAATCTCAAACTGTCTGAGTAGGTAATACGTTTGAATTGGAATTGACTGTGTGACCATTAAAATATGTATGTTTTAAATTAATATGAGTAGTATGAATGAAATTCGAACTTACTACATCCGCCATGTTGTCATTATCATGTGACCTGTCGCATCACTGCCATTAATAAATCCTCTCCTGTGGCATCATGGGACAGTAAAGTGTCCATCGAATGTGCACTTCAGAATCTCGCCAGAAGTAGTAGATCATCCAGGTACTTTTCGAATACTATGTATTAGTGTTTTTCGCATACTAAATACAGGTGAAACTCGAAAAATTAGAATATCGTGCAAAAGTTCATTTATTTCAGTAATTCAACTTAAAAGGTGAAACTAATATATTATATAGACTCATTACATGCAAAATGAGATATTTCAAGCCTTTAATTGTTATAATTTTGATGGTTATCTGTTGCATGTTTTATTGCATATGATTTCTGGGCTATTTTTCTGCAGAACCACATCACTGCACATTTTGGTCTATTTGACATGCCTAATTCAGGTCACGGAGCGCCTTGATGAGCTAATGAACTAATCAGTCAAATCAGGTGTGTTAAATTAGGGAGATCTAAAATATTGCAGCGATGGGTTAGAGAAACTAGTGATGTATCGATATGTACATTTTGGCCGATACCGATAACCGATTATTCTTTATATTTAAAAGATGAAAACTGATATATTGGCCGATTAAATCAAAATCAAAATTCTTATTTAATATTTTGAGAGCCTGATTACAAAAACAAAAGTCTCACCATTAAAAGCCATGTCCTAAACGCACAATTATAATATTCTCATGTTTTATGTAGCCGATATGAC